AATTGGCCCCCAGCACTAACTGCTGTTCCCACCACAAGCCTGTCCCCCCAGAAGTGTTCAGACCTACTTACCTACACACACACACACACACACACACACACACACAGACACACATAAACATACACCCCACATGATACGCACATATCACACACCACACATACCACATACATAATACACATAGCACACACAAACCACATACCACTTATACTATATGACACACAAAGCACACAACACACAAAACACAGTGTACACAAAACACACGAGTTATACACAACACACACAGCATACAATACAACACAAAATACACATATGACATATGACACATGCACACACATCACACAAGACATACAACACAACACCACACACAGTACACATGCAACACATACAACACATGCATCATATACAACATACAACACAGCACACAATTCACATAACACGCATAATACACAATACATACCATACATATACACAGAACACACAGTACACAAGACACACACATAACACACACAAAATACACACTACACAACACACACACACATACCCGCATGTTGGGGAACCCTGCTGTTAAGGTTGGCTCCTTTCTCAGCAGGGGCTTCCTGCCTGACTTATCTGGAAAGTGCCGCCAAGCATGGATGCTTGGCCTCATTTAAAACATGACCTTTGGCATAGTTACCTGGAGTAAAAACTACCCCCAGGTTTTTTCTATATGATAATTAGGCATTGCCTGATAGTCGGATGATAGGAGCCTACTGCCGCGTGTAAATAAAGCATACTATGAGCACCTGTCAGCTGAAGCATTGGCTACTGACTCCACACTATATTTTCTCTGACCCCCACTGAATAATCAGAGCTGTATCACTGAGTCTGGAGCTGTGTCACTGAGTCTGGAGCTGTATCACTGAACCTGCCTCCCCGGAAGGGCTTTCTTCCGTCAGTGCTCACTGGCCATCCTGACCCCACTCATCGCTTCTGCTCCCTTTGTCCTCGTGGACCGGTGGCCAATGAGCCATGAGAAAAGGGAGAGACCCCACACCAGCACACACTTTTCACAAATGGCAGCATTCTATGTCCATGGAACCTCATTTGGATCTAGTGGTTTAGTCTCGAAGTGAGTATTCGGTGTTCCAGCATTCAAATTCACTGTAGTTCCATTTGTTCCGTCCCAGTCTGGTAAGAGCTTAACAGAGGATGCCTTATTCTCCCTGGTTCCAAAATAACCAGAAAATATTGTATTTTTATGTCAATGGGAAAAAATTGAATCATCTTTAGATACCAAATTTCCACAATGCCCAGGGCAGGAGTAAAACATGAGAGTCCACAGGCAGCTTGGACAAGTCAGAAGATCCAGAGGATTCTGCAAGTGTCTGCTGTGTGTAACACAGGCCAGCTCATCCCTAGAACAGCTCTGTGGTGAGGATGGAGACTGAATCTCAATCTCACAAACGATCAGGCCCATAGGCTCCAAGCTCATCCTCATCCAACATTCAGCAACAGGGGTCCAATCTGCCATGAACCCACACAAGCTGTAGGGCTGGAAGACAGGTCCTAGGCACAGAGGGAGGCAGAACAGTGTTTCCTGGCTTTGACCTCCTCTTGAGACCAGCATTGCTAACTTTTTTGCCCTGGGAGAAGGAGAGGGGTGTGACTGGCCTGGGGTCCTTCATTTATGACCTCCAAGGACTTGATCAGGCCTACTCTCACACAGCAGCATGTTTTCCTATGTCTGGGAACACAACAAGCCACTTGCTACTAAGTAGCAGTTCCCAGTTATCCGTCTGTCAGCTTAAAACATGGGACTGATGCTGTTTGGGGTGTTTTGTTTTGTTTTGTTTTGAGAGTCTCAAGTTTCCCACGTTAGACCCAGACTCGCTAAGTAGCCCAGGATGAGATGACCCTGAACTTCTGATCCTTCTGCCTCTACCTCCCAAGTGATGAGATCACAGGCATACACCACCTTGCCCAGTTTATGTGGTGCTGGGGATTGAACACAGGGCTTCATGCATGCTAGCAAGCACTCTACCAGAGCTGCATCCTCACCCCTAAAACTAACTCTTGCCCACTTCAGAAAGAGCCATGTGTCAGCAATTTCACACTGGTAAGTGTGAGTGTTACTGAATAAAGTCACAGCAGAGGTTCTCTTCAGTGGAAAATGTCCTGCTGCCTGAAGCAAAGAAGACCTACACTTTTCCTGGGGTTGAGAACTCCACCAACATCCTGAGGCGGCCCAGAGCAGACAGTCTTTGCTCTTTCCATCATAGAAGAGGCTGGGTAGGATGCAGAACACACAGGCAGGCAGGGTAAGAAGAGGCAATGGCTGACTGGGCGGGCCGTCACCTTGACAGACACTGCCTGGGTGAAACTATCACAAACAAGGTGCAGGAGGGTGTGGAAACTCCCTTGGTTAAAGAACCTTAAGTTTTGCTTTCCCTTTTGATAAAGGGCAATAGCAGCCGGGGTGCAGGGTGCTCTGAGATACCCTCAGACTCCTGAGGGTTCTATCTGTTGTGTCACAAGGCAGAGGAGGAGAATGAGGTCAGTAACCACTGCATCCAGGCTCAGGAGAGCGTGGGAAGAGGACAATTTTTATCGCCCTACCTGTGCAGAAATGTTCTCGTTTCCATTCTTTTTATTTATTTTTATTTTATGTGTATGAGTGTTTTTGCCTGCATGTATGTAAGTGTGCCCATGCCTGGAATGCCTGCAGAGGCCAGAAGAGGGTGTCGTACCCCCTGGAACTGGAGTTACAGGCTCTTGTGAACCGTTATGTTGGTGCTGGGAATTGAACCCAGGTCCTCTGTAAGAGCAGGCATCAATCCAGCCTCTCTCTTTTTCCTTTCTTGAAATAGGAGAAGGAATAATGGTTGGGCCAAGACTGATAATGTCCCAATAGACTAGCCACTGGAGCCTAGCACACAGGCTGGCAGAGCCCATCCTCCATCTTGGGTCAGTTGGTGTTTCTGTGACCACAGAGCCCTTGGTCACAACAATGCCTCCTCTTCACCTATGGATGTTGGGTGAACAGCCCAGTGTGTAGATTGAGGAGTTTCCTATAAGTGAGATCCTTGGTGCTAAACCCAAGAAGGTCTGGAGCACCACGAAACAAGTGTGTCGTCCCAGAGTGTGGGGCTATGTTGGTCACTCTTTTCATTGCTGTGATCAAATACTCAAGAAGTAATTTAAGGGAGGAAAGGTTTGTTCTGGTTCATAGTTTGAGGGATCATTTCAGCATGGCAGGGAACACCTGGCAGTAGGCAGGAGTGTGATGTGGCTGATCACATCGCATCTACAGGAGTGTGACATGGCTGATCACATCGCATCTGCAACCAGGAAGCAGAGCAAGATGAATGCTGGTGCTCAGCTCCTCCTCCTTGTCCTCCTCCTCCTCTTCCCCCTCCTCTTCCTCCTCCTCCCCTTCTCTTCTTCTTTAGACAGGGTTTTACTGTGTAGCCCTGGCTAGCCTGGAGCTTGCCTTGTAGACCACACTGGCCTTGAATTCACAGACCTCCATCTGCCTCTCCTTCCCCAATGCTGGGATTAAAGACATGTGCCACCACGCCCAGCTTTCTTTCTCTCTTTTTATTCATTTTTGGACCCTGGCCCATAGACCCACATTTAAGTGAGTCTCTCCACCTCATTAATTTAATCTATAAAATCTCTCACAGGTGCACACAGATTTGTTCCCATGGTGATTCTAAATCCTATCAAGGGGCTAAAGAGATGGCTCTGCGTACAAGAATATGTACTGCTCTTCCAGAAGACCCAAATTCCATTCCCAGCACCCATATCAGGGTGGCCCCAAACTGCCTGTACTCCAGTTCCAGGGAATCTGGATGGCCTCTGTGGGCACCCACACATATACATAACTACACAAACACACTTAACTAAAAAAAATCTTGAAATTCCATTAAGTTGACAGTCAAGGTTAGCCATCAACAGGGACTCTGCCCAATCCCTGATGAGAAAGAGTAGGTCTTGTGAGTTGGAAGAGAAGGAGGAAGCTCTTGGACGAGGGTTTCTGGGTGTTGATTGGCTGATGGGCTTTGGAAAGAGCCTCTCTCCAGTCCTAGCTTCATGCAGGAGAAATGATGGTTGGAGAGTAGAGAAAGTAGAAACGAAGAAAGAGGATCAAACATGGAAAAACCCTGAGCCAGACGTGGTGGCACACACCTTTAAACCCAGCACTTGAGAGACAGAAGCAAGTGGATCTCTGTGAGATCAAGGGCAGCCTGGTCTGCATAATGAGTTCCAGGCTAGCTAACTAAAGCAAACTAAAATAAAAAGAAAGACCCCAGTCCCTTATCATCCCACTCAAACCCACCATCACTGTCTGTCCATGTTCTCCATTCTTCCACACACTGGCCAAAGTAGATGCCTAGTGGAGAGACCCTTGAGAGGCTATTGAAAGAAAAAGAGGTCCGTCCAGCATTCCAGAAGGTCTAGAGCCACATGTTCACCACATCACTATGCAACAGCTTTGGGCACATGCCCAGAGATCATTACTCTTTGAACCTCTCAGGGACATAACTGCCTCACCAAAGGTGTCTGTCATAGCCACCATCATATGACTGCTGTGGGTATGAATAAGATAACAAATATGAAAAATCAGGTATGGAGGTACACACATGTAATCCTAGAACTTGGGGGATGGCAGGAGGATCAGGAGTTCAAAGTTATCCTCAGTTACATTGTATGAGGCCAGCCTGAGCTATATGAGACCCTGTCTCAAAAAACAAATAGGGGTTTGAGAGAGCTTGATGGTTAAGAATGAGTATGGCTCTTGCAGTGGACCTAGGTTTGGTTTCCAGTACCCATGTCAGGCAGCTCACAACTGGCCATAACTCCAGCTTCAGGACATCTGAAGTCCTCTTCTGTGTATGAAGGTGGAAATCTAGTAGGGCTCCAAGCAGCTTCCTCTTGCCTATCTCCATGTGGGACCAGAGAGAATGGCATGCTTGTTTCTCTGAGAACTAATACTGCCACATGTTTCCCTTCTGATCCAGGCTCTCACCATGCCCACCTTCTTTCCTGAATTGGATTTAGAAAACTTTGAATATGATAACTCTGCTGAAGCCTGTTACGTGGGAGATATCGTGGCCTTTGGGACCATCTTCCTGTCCATCTTCTACTCCCTGGTCTTTGCCTTTGGCCTGGTGGGAAATCTGCTGGTGGTGCTTGCCCTCACCAACAGCCGGAAGCCCAAGAGCATCACTGACATCTACCTCCTGAATCTGGCCTTGAGTGATCTGCTGTTTGTAGCCACCTTACCCTTCTGGACTCACTATGTGATCAGCGAGGAAGGCCTCCACCATGCTGTGTGCAAGCTCACCACCGCCTTCTTCTTCATCGGCTTCTTTGGTGGTATATTCTTCATCACCGTCATCAGCATTGATAGATACCTGGCCATCGTCCTGGCCGCCAACTCCATGAACAACCGAACCGTGCAGCATGGCGTCACCATCAGCCTGGGTGTCTGGGCAGCAGCCATCTTGGTGGCAGCACCCCAGTTCATGTTCACAAAGCGAAAGGAGAACGAATGTCTGGGTGACTACCCTGAGGTCCTCCAGGAAATCTGGCCTGTGCTTCGCAACACAGAAGCAAATGTCCTTGGCTTCGTGCTACCCCTGCTTATCATGAGCTTCTGTTACTTCAGAATCATCCAGACTCTGTTTTCCTGTAAGAATCAAAAGAAGGCCAAAGCCATCAGACTCATCCTCCTGGTGGTCATCATGTTCTTCCTCTTCTGGACACCCTACAACGTCATGATTTTCCTGGAGACTCTCAAATTCTACAACTTCTTTCCCAGCTGCGACACGAAGAGGGACCTGAGGTTGGCCCTCAGTGTGACCGAGACAGTGGCGTTCAGCCACTGTTGCCTCAACCCCCTTATCTATGCCTTTGCTGGGCAGAAGTTCAGAAGGTACCTCAGCTACCTGTACAGGAAATGCCTGTCTGTCCTATGCGGTCGTCCCGTCCACGTCACTTTTTCCCCATCGGAATCACAGAGAAGCAGACAGGGAAGCATTCTGAGCAGCTTTACTCACTACACAAGTGAGGGAGAGGGGTCCCTCCTACTCTGAAGGGGTCCCCACAGCCTTGTATCTACTAAGAACCCAGAGTTCCTGAGTCTGACACCATGTAATGAGGACAGGATTATTTTTGCTTTGTTTCTTACATGCAAGAAGTCTGGATCCAATGCCCACAAGACATCCCTACAATGTTTTTGAGAGAGTTATGCTCAATATTTGACTCATAAAAGATACATGCATCTCTTACTTTAAATGTCAAGACTCTGGGGGCTTACAAATAACAAAGATTCAAACCAGGTTAGTGTAATTAGAAGGGGGACTGTTCACATGGTGGTGTGGGTAAGGGAGTGACTGAACCCTCAGATTGAGAGGAAACCAGGGCTTGAATCTAGCTACAATGTACCTTCTACAACCCTCCCATCTTTGAGTGATGATAGATCCCTCAGGCTTACATTCTACAGCTTTAGTGGCCAAGACAGACTGAACCTCACTGCTTTCTGATCTCAAGGTCAACATTCCCTGGGAAGGGTTCTGACTGGCCAAGTTTGTATCAGGAGCCATTCCTGGATCAAGTGGTTAGTAGTGAAGGGGAAGGGATAGCAAAGATGGATGTTTCTGTTCCAACCTCAAAGTTGGAGGTTGAGGGAGACATTTTTCTAAGAAGTTGGAGGGATAGGAGCTATTCTGATCAGACAGAACAAGACTTGCTCACCGGTCTTATCATGGGGCTGACTCAGCCTAGCCCCTTATCAACCATCCAACACCCACTGCCAACCTCTTCTCTGGCATGTCCCCGGACCTACAAAGGCCCCCACTGCAGCAAGTGAAAACTCAAGGGCTTGGCCTCTGAGACCAGGTAGACGACGCGGTCCTATCAACAGACTCCCATTCTCTCCTCCATCCCAAAGGAATCCACCCACCCTCTCAGCCCTGTTCCTTCCATTTCACCTCACATATCTCCCTCCACTTCTCTCAGCCCAGGGAGGAAAATAGAAAGATCCCTGCCCCAAAGTGAAAAGATAGATTCATATCCCAGCTCTGTCACTTGCCCCCAGTGGGTACACTGGAACCAAATGAGTAAGTTTCAGTTCCTTCAACGGATAGAAAGGAGATAAGGTACCCTCATCTTTTCTAGCAAGACAAATCAGCTACCGACTCTTGTCCTCTTGTCTGGGTTCCAGAATTCAGGTTTCTCTCTGTACCTGGCACCATTGCCCAGGCTTGGAGCGATGTTGCAAATGGGGTTGGCAGGGGCCAGCAGGCTCTGCTGCAGGAGTAGCTCAACTAAAGGAGGCTGGTTCCCACAGCTACAATCAACAAACACTTAGACCTACAAGCCCGTAACCTTCCCTGACCCAGTACTCTCAAGCTGCCTTGGAAATCCCTCATGAGCACATCAAGGCAAACCTGGCCCACCTTGAAAAATGTCCTCCTCACTCTCGCCCCCTGCCAGGCTATAGGAGCAGCTTTCTTTTTTTCAGAAAACATTCAGAATGCACCAAGACTTTAAAGCTTGAGGAATAACTATAATGATGTTAAAAGGAGCATCATTTACGAGCTAACCATGGGAACGTTTTCATGCCTGCATTCACCCATCCAGCTTTGTTCAAGCTCTTAATGTTTAGAATTCCAGTCATAGCGTAGTTGTGTAATATTAGATTCCAAATAGCTCTCTATTTCTGTGTAGCTTTGTAATTACCATTTTAGAAGACACTCCCAGATGGTGCCCTCATTGAGGCAGATGTAGAGTGTGGCTCATCACCAAGTTTCTGATAGCTCCTTGGTGGTCTGTATGTTGTTTCAAGAATGACTGAGTCATTTTTCCTGACAGGAGTGTCCAACCTTTTGGCACTGCTACACCATGATGTCTCTGACAAAGGTCACTCTCAGGAACCTTGTGCATTAGAGTTACAAAAATAATTGCAAAAATATCTCAGGTTTTAAGTAAATTTATGACTTTGTGTTGGTCCACATTCATAGCAATCCTGGGTCATGTGGTTGGATAAGTTTGCATCCTGTGCAGTTCACTGCTATTCTGTTAATAAACATAGAACTTTCTATATTCAGCAAACACACCTTACAGCACTTTCACTGGTGGAATTTTCTTTTCCCTGTTCAATTATTTCCATATAAGCTCCTTGCAGGGGGAGCAACTGGGTCAAAGAGCATAGGAACATTTTATCTCTTTGTGCATGTATATGAACTTCATTTGATGATGATGATAGTCGGTTACAGGCCTTTTATTGAGCACATATTCTGTACAACATGTGGGCTTGGAATGGAGCTGTTTCAAAAGTGTTGAGATCAGGCTTCTGCTCCAAAGATTTCACATTTAAGTGGAGACGTGAATGAGCTTCTGAGCATGCTTACCCACTTATGTGGTATCAAGAGGTAGTGACATCTGACCTGAGTCATTAAGGGTAGGAGGTTCTGCAGTTAAAGAAGGAGTCCCTGTGCCTGGCTGAGAAAGCAACAGGTATAAATACCTAGGAGAGCATAAGGCTCTTAGAATGTCAGCAAACTGGGACTGGAAAGATAGCTTGGCTGTTAAGAGTACATACCACTGGGGGGCTGAAGAGATGGCCCAGTGGTTAAGTGCACTGGCTGCTCTTGCAGAGGACCCAGGTTCAAATCCCATCACCTACATGGCAGCTAACAACCATCCATAACTTCAGTTCCAGGGGATCCAATGTCCTCTTCTGTCTTCAGTAGGCACTGCACGATATGGATGACTTACACACATGCAAGCAATACACTCATACACATAAATTAATAATTTTTTTTAGAAAGAGTACATACTGCTCTTACAGAGGATCTGAGTTTGGTTCCCAGCACCACAGGCTCACAACCACCTGTAACTCCAGCATCATACACACAATTAAAAAAATAAACAAATCATTTTTTTAAAGGTCAACAAACTATAGATTCAAAGGTGTCATTAACATGGGTAAAAAGAAGTTTCTTGGACAGGGGAGGTTATTTTTGGGGTCAAGCAATAGAGGGTGGGGTTTCCCTCAGGGTGTTCATGCAGTTGGCTCCTCAATACCAGATGAGATCCTTATTCCAACTATTGAGCCATGAGGCTTTTCATTAAAGTTTAACCTATTTCTGGATTCTTGTATGAGGAAGAAATAATTCCTTTGTCTTGAGAAACAAAAGTAGGGAAACAAATATTTTCTTTTCTACAAACAAAATAAACTAGTATCATTGGGTTGGCAAGCTGACTCTGCAAATAAAGGAGCTTGCCACTAAGCCTGACAACCTGAGTTCAATCCCCACGATCCACACAGTAGAAGGAGAGAATAGACTTGCTACACACACACACACACACACACACACACACACACACACACACAGACGCCATGGCATACACATGTGCAAGTGTGTGTGTGCATACATACATTTAAATAATAAGTAAATGTAATAAAAAGAAAAAGAAAAGAATAAATTAGCATTGTAAGAATCCCATATTCATGCCTTCATTTTGCTGACTAGGATAGGACAGGGAGAAGACAAGGAGGCTCAGTGAAAAGCCCCACTGACCCTCATCACACAACTGAGTTAGATGCCCTCCCATGCCCTCTGAGCTTCCAAAAAGCAGAGGATTATGGTAGACTCTGAAGATCAGGAGATGCTTGATACATCCCAATATATGAGCTCTGTGACCTTGGGCAGGTTACTGACCTTCTCTGAGGCTCTGTGCTCTTATGAGAAAAAGAAAGAAAAACACCCACCTCCTAGGGTTATGAGGAGTTAAGCCAACTTGCTTAAAGTTCACAGAGAAGAGCTAGCCAGGCAAGTTTAGGCAGACGGCAGTGATCTTTTTTATCCTGCCTGTGCACTTTTCCATAGAGGAAACACTCACACTATCTTGTTCTTGCCTCTTTGCTTTTTTTAGTTCCAGAACTGACAACTGTGTGTTCAGAGGTGACTGAGTCCAAATACACACTTTGTTAGACTGGCCCTGTGTGTGTGTGTGTGTGTGTGTGTGTGTGTGTGTGTGTGTGTGTCTGTGTCTGTGTATTGCGTCTGTGTGTCTGTGTGTGTGTGTCTGTGTATATAAGACAAGGGTCAACTTCCGGTTTCATTCCTCAGACATCATACACCTTGTTTATTGAGACAGAATCTCTCTCTAGGGTCTGAGAGCTTGCCATTTAGGCTAGGCTGGCTGGCCAGTGGGCCCCAGGAATCCTCCTGTCTGTCTCACCACTGCTGGGATTACAAGCACACATCAATTTTGCACACCGGAGATCAAACTCAGGTCCTTGTATTTGCACAGCAGGCATTTCACTGACTGAGCTATCTCCTCAGCCTTCAAATACACATATTGCAGCTAAAGTAAAGGTGGCCAGTCAGGGCCAAGAGCCAGCTACTGAAAGAGGCAGATCCTAGACTCCCAGAGTGCCTCACCTTCTTCCTTCATCTTGACAACAGCACAGACCATCTGGCCTTGAGGAGCAGAGAACACAGGTGGGCAACAGAGAAACCCAAAAAAGATCTGCCGGTTGGTGGCCAGGGAGGGGCCGCGGCACGTGCAATTTAATAGAGTAAGTCTGTACACACTGGAACAGGCTGTGCTGCTGCCGTCAGTGGTGTCAGTCTCTCTGAAGACAGATGACACCCATAGGAGAGTCACCAGCAGAAGATACAGGACACCCAGAGGCAAAGACCATCAGGAGTCTCTAGAAGGGCCCAGATCTCAGTCAGACAAGGAAAGCCGACAGCAGTGTCCAAATGCTGTCCAGTGTTTGGGCTATATGCCAAGTCCACTGACTTCAGCTTTTGTCTAAGCTCACTTGATGACATTCCAATAGATCGACTCCTCACCAGGGATCTTGCCACTGCGAAAGATGAGCAATACATGCTTTCAGTTCCTGGGAAGAGATTCCAACCCCTGGCATCCATTGCACCTGGGATATGTACAGGGTTTTGTGACTTTTCCATCCATCACTTTCCAAAGCATTGCCCCTCAGAGTCCAGGGAAAGAATCCATCTCTGGTCCAGGAATGAGATTCCATTCCTGCCTTCAAAGACTTCAGAGACCCGGCATGATGGCACATCCTAGCACTTGGGAGGCAGAGACCAGCCTGATCTACATAGTGAGTTCCAGGCCAGCCAGGACTACATAGTGAGACCCTATCTAAAAACTTTTAAATAGAAGCAAAACAAACAAAAAACTTCAGGGGGTTCTTTCCTAACTCAGAACCTAATTTTCTTTTCTACTCTACCCCACTTGCTTGCCCATAGGGACTATTGGGCACTGTAACTTGACTCAAAGTACTGTTTACATAAATTGCTGAGTGGACAGCCTCATTTTGAGCTACTAAGAGTGGCATGCTCGGTAAGCAAGGGTGAGAAGTTGGTCTCAGCACACTTAGAAATAGCCAGGTTCCTTTCACAGAAGCCTCTGGAGTTCAAGGAGGCCCTGGTTGTTTTCTGGTGTCTGTGTGGTACCACTTCTGTTGTCTAAAGACATGCTGTGGGTTGGGGACATAGCTCAGTTGGCAAAGTGCTTCCTACGAAAGCATGAGGACCTAGAACTCACATTTTAAAATCTAGGTACAGCCAGGTGTGGCGGAGCACTCCTTTAACCCCAACACTTGGGAGGCAAAGGCAGGCGAATCTCTGTAAGATTGAGGCCAGCCTGCTCTACACAGCAATTTCCAGGACAGCTGGGGCTACAGGTAAATCCTGTCTCAAAAATTAAAAACTAAAAATAAAATCTGGGTACTGTGGCACAAGTTTGTAATCCCGGTGTCGGGGTGGTGGAGACAGGTGGAAACCTGGAGCTCACTGACCAGTCAGCCTTACCTAATCAATGAGTTCCAAGCTAGCGAGAGACCTGTCTCCGCGTATGTGGAGGTCTGAGAACTTTCAGGAGTCATTTCTCTCCTTCCACCTTGTTTTGAAGCAGAGTCTCTCTTGTTTCTGCCACCAGCTTCCAGCACATTCTCTCTTTTCTGCCTCCCATTCCCCCACAAGAACCCTGGGATTACAGATTCATGCCACTGCATCCAACTTCACATGAGTTCAGAGGATTAAATTCAGGTCATCAGGCTTGTGAGTAGCTGCCTTTACCTGCTGAACCATCTCATCAACCCCATCTGTTTATTTATTCTTTGGTATGGTCTCCCTGTAGGCCCAGTTGGCCTGGAACTCACTATATAGACCAGGCTGGCCTTGACCTCACAGGTATGCACCTGCCTCTGCCTCTGCCTCCTGAGTGCTGGGATTAAAGGAAGGTGCCATCATGCCTGGCTTCATTTATTTATTCTTGAGACAGGATTTCACTTTGTAGCCTAGGTTGGCCTCAAACTCATCATCCTCCTGCCTCGGCCTTCCAAGTGTTGGAATTAGAGGAATGAGCCACCATGCCTGCATATGCTTACTCACATTCATTGAACACAGTTTGGACTGTGAAGAAAAGAAAGCGTGACAGAGCCAGAGGGGTCCTTCCACTCTGTGATTAACCTGAGTAAACACTTGGAAATAGATGGTATTTGTGCTTAGGGAGATGTACTAGGTAAATTCAACTGATGCTACTCGAACTGTGCAGACTGTTAGTAAGTACTAAACATTCATTGTGGTAAAATTAATGCAGCCAAAAACCAAACACAATTTCCACTGAGAATGTCTTGATACTTGGCTGGGTCTGAGGCAGCTTGGAGCTGTAGGGTTGGCTATAGCAGTGGTGCATGGTGAGCTGTATTTAGACACATCTAAGGAAGAAGTGCCACTCTATTCATGACTCATTTTTACAGGATGAATCATTTGCATGGATTACACTTACTTCTTAAACCCAAACCCATGATTTGCTGTATTTTTCCTAATAAAGGAATTGTGCCTCGATCCCTTGCTATAACAGAATACAACAGACTGGGTAATGTTTAAAGAATACAATTTGACTCTTCCCCATTCTGAAGGCTAGGAAGGCCAAGATCAAGGCCCTGGAAACTGGTCTGCTGAGGAGCTTGCTGTGTCTTCACATGAAGAAGGCAGAAAGGCCATGTGAGGTACAGCCTGACTGATAAGGACCTTAATCCCACTGGCAAGGGAGAAGCCCTCGAGGTCTC